TGAAACTACTTGAACTATCAGAAAACCTCTATAAACATTTAAGAGATCAAGGCAAGGTTGTATCTCAGGTGATTTTCTGAGTTATACACAACATACATAATAAATAAATATTGCTCAATGTGATGGAACTCATAGCACCAGCTCAGTAAAGTGAATTATGCAAGCTCTGCTAACTGGAAGATGTTATCAAATGGTTTAATTCAAGTAAAAATTCTCAACACAAATATATCTGTACCTGTATTGATGTATATTGGTAAAATACTGTGGGCATAGTTTGCTGACCGTGTAATTGCAATCAGTGAAATTATTGAGCTTCCTCAATAGAACGAGGAGAGCACAACAGTAGGTGCGAGTTATATAGAGAGAGATCCACCATGGTTCTGGCCTTAAAGGCTCAAAATTCAGTTGGAGAGAGATAATGGGTTTATAAAGATAAAATACTGTTGGTAGTAACATGATGTCTGTTGACATTTTGAAAAAGAGGTTTTCTGTATATTCTGCGAAGTAGCTTCTCTCAGAAGTAGTGGTTATTGAATAATAAAAAAAAATCAACATTATCTTGAACCCACTGGGTAAGGCTGGAGTGAAGGCAAGATGGTATTTCTTTCCTTGGAGTTCTTGGCACTCAAGCATCTGAGTGGGTAGCTTTTGCCCTGGTAGGTGTAGATAAGCATATGTCTTTGGTCTGGAGGAAAGTGGCCTGTTTCGCTTGAGTCAGCTTGTTCACAGACTGAGGTGATTATTCCCAAGTCTCACCCAAGCAAATTGATGACTCCAGGGTGAGCAGAATCAATGCACTGGCATTTGCCAAATACAGATTCAGGTGAAAATGGAATAAATTAGTTCCTCTCAGTCAATTATTGCTTCAAGTAGGCAAGCTGAGGAAGAAGGGGTGCTGAGGTGCACACTGAATTTGAACTACGTTCTGTTTTCAGCTGAAGATATAAACAGACAGTGACTATAAAACCTTAGCTTGGTGGGAAAAGGAGTTCTGTGAGCAACACAATTTCTCCTTCTGAATTGTACCTCGAAGAGCACTGACTCTTATTTGCATAGGCTGTTCAGAATATGTCTGGAATTTCCGTTGTGAGGTTACAGACTGCCACCATGTAATAACAACATTATTGGAAGCTAATACCATAATTAATTTCTTACTACTATACTCAGCTGATATTGACAATGAGATGTACAGTTACACAGCATAACTTGGCAGATTCTTCACAGCAAAAGAATTCATAATCAGATCTGATGGCCTGTCCAATGGAGAGAACAGGTTATCTAGGAAGAGACTATCATTTCAAGGATAGACATAGTATGGTTAGTGCTCTCAAGACATGCTTAGCCAAAGAGAGAGCTACTCTTTTGGTATTAGTAGTTGAACTTGATTCCAGTATAGTTGTTTATAAAATAAATAGTGAGGCATGCTACAAAGTACTATTGCTGTGCATCACCAGCAAACTCTGAATAAAAGAAATGCCAACCTGAAGATGCAATCTCTTATTGGTGGGGAAATAATATACTCTTTATGATTTTCTTATGATGTTTCATTGACATACGGTGCTTCTAACCAAGTGACAAATTAATCTACTAGATTTAAGGAGAAATGGATGTGGCTTAATGAAGAAGGACAGGATATGTATTATAAGGCAGCTGATTCTGCCACTGCTGGCTTATGGAGAAAATATACATTGGACAGCTAATGAGTCTCTGTTGCATAAGATAGATTCTCTTTATAATAGAATTGCACGCTTTGTCTCTAAATGGGGTTATTATACACACCATTGCACAATGTTTGAAGAGCTTGGTTGGCCCTTGTAGAGGGTTACGAGAGAAATAAATTGGAAGACAATTGTGCTTAAGACCTTCAATCCATCAAGCATTTCGTATTTATCCAAATTACTAGCATGTTCTCCCAAAATATGAATCTGTATGATACACAAGGCTAGAATGTTAATGCTGACCAGACTTTGCTTTATCAGACAGGTTTTCCACTGTAAGCATTGACCAAAATTCACACGTGGTGAAGCTGGGCAATACGCATTCCAACCACTGCCCCCATTCCCTTTGCCTCTGCTCTTCATGTATTCCACTATCTTAGTCTCTGAAGTTTCATTTGTTTTTTCTTCTATCCACCATGAACACAAAGGGCTCACTTGCCCTGAGTTATTTAATTCTCAGAACTTTTTGACTTGACTACCCAGACAGTTTTAGTGGTAATTCAGTTTCTTCACTTTTCTCCATACTTGTGGGCCCTCACTGTTCAGTTGCTCAGCTATTCTTTAGAATAAATCCATTTCAATTAAGGTTACAGCCTAGAAAGAAATACTAGGCTGGGTGTGGTGGCTCATACCTGTAATCACAGCACTTTGGGAGGCTGAGGTGAGTGGATAAAATGAGCCCAGGAGTTGGAGATGAGCCTGGGCAACATAACAAGACCCCGCCTCTACATGAAGTACAAAAGTTAGCCAAGCATGGTGGTGCATGCCTGTAGTCCCAGTTACTAGGGAGGCTGAGGTGAGAGGATTGCTTGAGTTCAGGAGGTCGAGGCTGCAGTGAGCTATGATTGCACCACTGTACTCCAGCCTGGGTGACAGAGTGAGACCCTGTCTCAAAAAAAAGAACAAAAAGTAAAGAAAAAAAATATTGGAAGTGATGAAGAAGACCGGATAAATGACAATATCATTCCCTCTGTGTCAGAAGACTGTGCTTTCTATTAGAGGACATGGCAGGGCTTATTTAGATGTTGTAGACGGGGAGATGGAGGAGGTGAGTCATGCTCTTACCATCATTACTTTCTAATGTGGCTTTGAACCTGATTCTACCTTCTGGCTTGATTCTTCTATCCATGATATCATGTAGTTGGAATTTTGTAGCTCAATTTTGCCCAAATATTTTCAGGGTGATACCATGTCCTTGAGCCCCAGGGGAAGTTTTGCACAGGAAAGGTGATTCTTGGGGTGTACCATCACTAGCTTTTTGACTTGCCAATGGACTTTGGAGGCACCATTAATTCCTGCTGATGCTGAGATCCTCACCTATGTGGTGAGGTGACAATATTTTGTTTCTTTCAAACTTTCTTTTCTGTGTTTCTCTCCTCTCAACCTACCAAGAGTAATTGAAGAGAATTACACCTGTGAAACATTTCAAGATGCTTGGAGTAAGATGATCTTTTCAGTTTAAGACGTTATTATATCCCAAACCAGACTGCTTTCTCTCTGTCATTGTGAGGTTCTTTCCTTTGCAAGTTTATCCGTACTCTGGTATAGAGAAAGGTAAGCTGAAAGAAATGGACAAAACTGTTTCATGGGCTTCTCCATGTATTTATTACCCTCTCCAAATTGAATCTTGAAGCCTTGTCAGAAGTGTTATTTTCCCAACAGAGCAGGTGTTAAGTGTCTATAGAAAATAAACTCACCTCCTGATATCTTTCTCATTGCCTGCTACATCCATTTACTGTGAAGATTATATTGTAAGGTGTGACGAGAGGTGTTGTACAGCAAGGGAAAAATCATCACTTTGTAATTCGATTTGTTCAAGTTCTCTTCTTTTGCACGGGCTTTTGGATTTCCTTGTCATTTGTGGAATTATTTCTTAAATGGTGAGTATCGTTTTCATATGTGTTTTTCCCAAAGCTTATTCCATCCAAATACTTTTTAAGTTGCATACACTCTTCTATAAGTAGAGCTATGTTTTTGTAATGAAGTTTCAATAATTTGGCCAGGGAAAAGGAAAAACCAAAACAAATGCTAAAAATGACTAGTTGATTTTTCTTTCACCTAATTTTTTATGACTTTTATATTCTCTGCTAAAAACAGATTATTTGATAACAATACTAAGAATACTTAGCTGTAGGTAAAAATTAATATCCATTTGACTGAATGTGTCATTTAATGAGAGGGCTTGTGCTTACCACGATTATCTTAAGGAAATAAATGTGTACAGAGACTAATGAGTAGACACACTAGACTTTATCAATGTTTATTGAAATTATTGCAGTTTAGTGATATGGAAATCTAGAATTGAGATGCTTTAGAAATAAATCTTTGCTTGTATGTAATTTCTTTAGTTCAAGGATCTGAAAACACTTTACAAGCAATTAAACTCTAGGATTCAAATGGGGATTTCACATTGTTTATTGTTTAAATAAAGTTACAGAATTATCATTTGCTTAGGGTTTCTAGTAAATCCTTTCTTTTAGGTCTACCAATATGCATACCCGAGTTTCCCTGGATATTTACCTCTTCGCTCAAACCACTTTCAGATTTCTTTTCTTCTCATGCCATCATATTTCTTTTCTTTTTTTTTTTATAGATGGGGCCTGGAGTGCAGTGGTGCATAGCTCATTGCTCCCTCGATCTCCTGGGCTCAAATGATCTTCTCCCCTCAGCCTCCTAAGTAGCTGGGACTATAGGCATGCACCAAAATGTCCGGCTAATTTTTGTATTTTTCTTTTCTTTCTTTCTTTCTTTTTTTTTTTTTTTTTTTTTTTTTTTTAATTAAATAGAGCCGTGGTCTCACTATGTTGCCCATGTTGGTCTTGAACTCCTGGCCTCAAGCGACCCTGCTGCCTCGGCCTCCCAAAGTGCTGGAATCACAGGCATGAGTCACTGCACCAGGCTATTATATTTCTTGAAAAATTCTCTTTTTTACTTCCTTCCTCCAACTAACTCCTCCAACCAGAGTCAGTCACTCCCTCCTTTTCCTGGCAAGATCTTCTATCCTTGCCCTTGTCTCCCAGTCCTTGTGATCTTATGTTCAGGTAGAGAGGAACTTTCTCTTACTCATTGTCTTATTACTTGTATCCAAAGGTTGGGCACATTCCCCGCCCTTCATAAGGATTTTTCAATGCATGACTGAATGAATCTGTGAGTGAATGTGATCACTGTGGAGCTGTGAAGTAGCTCGGGCCACTCCCACATTGTGCTGGCCGTGCAGTGAAAGGCATTTTCCCTGTTTTGACGGGGCCGTTTATCTCTGCTTCTGGTTCTGCTCTCTACTAGGAAAAGGAGAAACTCTACATGGAACTAAAGCACGTCTTGGCCCGCCAGCCTGGACCTGAGGCTGCAGAACAGCTGAAGCTCTACCGACGCACACTGCATGACAAGAAGCAGCAGCTCAAAGTAAGTGGTAGCCCCTGTTCCTTCCTGGCCCCAGGGCAGCCACACTGGGGAGCACACCTGGACAAGTCCACTGCCTCCACACGATGAGCCAGTCTCTCAATGCCATGATCCTCTGAGGTTGGCTTTCTTAGAGCTCTAGTCTAGGACGAGCCCAGCCGACCTCAGAGCTACCCCTCTCTTCCTGGACTATGAGCACCATTTTCCATTTCCAGAAAGAGGCAGGTGAGCAAGAGACGAAAAGATGATGACCACGAAATGGAAATGTGGGGGACAGGGTTTGTATGGATGATCTCAAGATGACTTGTTAGAGTACTTGAAGGGCAGGGATGAGCAAAGGAAATATTTTAACACTATTGCCCAACTGAAGCAGACTGCCGTGCCACGGTGGGTCTCTGGTATTCCATCCCATCTGAAATAAACATACACAGAAGAAGTCCAGCTACTGCCCAGCCCTGAGGGCCTTGCTTCCTGACCAGCTCTCAAATATGTAACCATGAAAGAGAAATAAAATCAGGCAAGATTTTTTGGTAGTGTGATTCCCTTCTAAGTCACGTAAGACCCTCAGTTGCAGAGATATGGAGTGTTTTACTTTTATATGTGCCTTTGTAAAGTTTTTCTCAAAAATTGTGCATGTTCACACTATATTTTGAGCTTCACCTCCTAAGCGAGTACTTAGATATTCTTGGCGTGTTGGGGAAGTTTTACACACAGCCACAGGATGAAGCATGTGCCAGTTGAATTCTGGCACTTCCTGTCCAATGAGGGTAATAATCGTTGACTTTCTGTCTGGGGTAAAATATATGCCACCCTACTAGTATAGCCCTAACCCCTTCAAAAACAGGACATTGTAAAACTGCATCCTTTTATTTTAAAAGGGCAAATGAAACAAGTCTAATTAGAGCATTAATTTTCAATTTGTCACTCTGAATGTTCATTTCACATGAATATCCTGAGACATAATCTGAGTTTTGCATAAGACATAATCTTTTGATTATTTTGTTCCTTTAAAAAATTGAATATTTTAAAGAAAACAAATTATTTTCCGGTTTTCTCAGAGGTAGATATAGATTAGAAAAGCACAGAGCTATCTTATTCACTCAGAGCTCCGGGTTGCCTTCAAAAGCTCACAGGAGCCTTTTGTGAATTTAACCCTTTATCTCAGGAAATCCAGATTTTTCGCTCAAATGAAATGTGACCCTTCGTGAAGAGGTTTAGAGGTGGGTGGTACTGAGCATGTCTGCCAGTTTGTCCTTGATACTTACCTACTCTTTTAGGAAACTCCACATTCATTGTTTAGAAGCAGGGTTTTTGTTTCTAAGAGTTTAACTATTGAGACAGGCTTTTTTTTTTTTTTCCCCAGCATGAAAATTACATTCTTTAGCCCATGATAACATAGTCAGAATCATTTTCACAGCAGTGAAGAAGAAAGAGTTCAGAAGCAGATGAACACTAAGAAGGCTAAGATCTCCCTTTTATGCAAATCTTTAAAATAGCAAACAAGAGGAAAAATAAATCCAGCCTATTGCATGCATGTTAGAACTATAGCCTTCCTTTTCTTTTTGGTTTTGGTGGGGAGCACACCCCAGCTTTGGCACGTGCTGTGTGCTATGCAGATGAGTGAATCCCCACTCCTCTTGTCCAGCCCAAGACCCGCAGCAGCTACGGAACACAGCAACGGAAGGAAGCAGGTAGTCAGGCTTTGAAGGGTCCCGAAGAACACAGTAAAGAGGGGATAGGCATTCAGCAGCATCACAACCCTGAAAACACATACATTGAATGCTTAGTTAGCAGTGATGGCAGGATGATTTCAGAATAATTTTTTTCATAATCCTCAGATGAATCACACTCTCTAGTGATGTTTTTCTTGAACATTTTCTCTCTTTTTTTTAAGGTTTTAAAAGCAATTTTAGATTCTGTGTCTGGTAGTTTATCTGTCTCTATTCATGATATTCCTTGAAGCACATTAGACTATTCATCTGTGAGCCTGTTCGAATGTTGTCTAATAGTTCTTCTTTTAAGTGGGGGAATGATACTTTATTTAAAGTTGCAACCAGATGATGCATCTTCAGCCCTCAGCCAGGTTTCTACTCAGACGTGGACCCTGAGCAGGTGGAAGCATGCAGATTAATTGTGATGCTTGGGCATTGTTTCGCACCTCTAGCTCCACTGCGGTAAATGGTAGCAGATTAAAAGATTTCTCAGAAAAGGATATTGTATCTTTTGTTAACGCCACTTTATTTGTCATGTTAGGTTTTGTCTTCAGAACTGAATATGTATGAAGTACAGAGCAAAGAATATAAATATGAGGTAGAGAAACTTACCAATGAGCTCCAGAATTTAAAGAAGAAATACCTCGCTCAGAAACGTAAAGAACAACTTCAAAAGTAAGAATTAGTCAAACGTCCTATTTGTGCCTATTATCTGCACATAAGAAAATATTTGGTGAACAGTCACAGACTTGCAAGTTTCACTGGGGTAAACTAAGTCGCAGGGCAAACAAATGACATTCTACCAGTCACTAACTAAGTTTGTATCAGAGCAAGATCAGTGACTCATCTGATACTGAATCCTCTCCTTGGGATTCTAACAGGGATTCATTAATATCTGTTCATTGGTGGATCTACCATGGAGCAGAGGAAATGTAATACGACTTTTCCCCCCACACTAGTCTATGGTTTGGAGATAATAATGTCATAACTATGTTTGCAAATGAGGTTCAAAATCAGTCTTGAACAGCATATTCACATTTAAAACCACATGTGCTTTTGCTAAGGGACCGGGGCTTCATAAAGCTGTTCTTTCTAATGATGCCCCTGTACCACTATAACTGCTAATAGTTCACCTATGTTTTTATTTATTTATTTATTTATTTTTTATTTTTTAGTGATAGGGTCTTGCTATGTTGCCCAGGCTGGTCTTGACCTCCTGGCCTCAAACAATCTTCCTGCCTCAGCCTCCCCAAATGTTGAGATTACAGGGTGAGCCATGCCTGCCTAGGTTTTTAGATAGTTATTATCTCTGAACCATCTTCTGTGTCTAGTGACTGACTTCAGCATCTGCTTTGGGGGGTTGATGTGACCTCTTCCTCTAGGAGATGATAATGTAGAGGTGAGGTGAACATTTTGGGTTTCAGGATGCTCCCATGTTGAAAAACAAAAGTTCTCTTCACATTGTTAGTATTATTTGCCTGATCCCAGGGTGAGAATAGGGGCCCAAATGAATTGGGTTTGAAATGAACTAGTTTTGAAACTTGGTTTGGCTGCGTGACATTGCCAAAATCATCCAGTTAATTTGGCAGTGACTCACGTTATGGGCTGAAAGTCATGCTTGGTATTTATCCACATGGACATTTCAGGGACATGGTGAAATATGGCTTGAGTGCATTTGCCTAAGATTCGTTAGTAGCAAAGTTATATAAAGTAACTGGATGCAAATTCATTTGCCAGTAAAAGTCTGCCCTTCTTGTAAATCAGAATACTCCCCTGTTCCACATTTAGGTGTCAGTTCCATAGTAGAGGAAAATACTGCTATAATTTAAATAAGTCCATCTTAATGTGTAGGTCTACCAACTATCTGTCTGACTCAGAATCCCTAGTGAGATTTATTAAACATGCAGGTTCCCAGGCCATATTTCCAGATACTTGGATTCAGCAGACTCTGGAAACCTGCAATTTAATAAGCTCCTGAGGTGATTTTCATGCACAGTGAAGCTTCAGAACCACTAATATTAACAATGTAAATTAAATGAATGCTGGAGTGGAAACACTGTATTTTTCTTTTAGGATATCAAGATTGTGCTCATAAAATGTCAACATGGTTAATTTCCACATGAGGCAGGTGTCTAACTCAGTGGTCTTCAAGCTCTTTGATTGTACACCCTTATCAGTAAAACTTTTTTTGAGACAGAGTTTTACTGTGTCACCCAGGCCGGAGTGCAGTAGCACCATCTTGGCTCACTCTGACTCCAGAGTTCAAGTCATTCTCATGTCTCAGCCTTCCAAGTAGCTGGGATGACAAGTGTGCGCCACATGCCCGGCTAATTTTTTTTTTCTGTTTTTAGTAGAGACAGGGTTTTGTCATGTTGGCCAGGCTGGTCTTGGACTCCTGGTCCCAAGTGATCTGCTGGCCTTGGCCTCCCAAAGTACTGGGATTACAGACATGAGCCACTGAGCCCTCCCAGTAAAACGTTTTTGAACTTGCAGCATGTATATGCATATATCTTTAAAATAATTTTTAAATTTCAGAATAGTTTTAGATTTACCTGCAATGTATTTTAATTTATAAATTATATGCAGATACCACTGTCAGTTTGTAACTCTTAGTAAAGCATAATTTTAAAATTTTAAATATAAAAGTATTAATAGATTTATTTATTAATAAATAACAATAAAAAGAAATATAAATTAATAGAATAGAAATAAAAGAAAATAATCAATTAATAGAATTAATATAATAATATCTTCTTTCTTTTTTTATTATACTTTAAGTTCTAGGGTGCATGTGCACAACGTGCAGGTTTGTTACATATGTATACATGTGTCATGTTGGTGTGCTGCACCCATTAACTCGTCATTTACTTTAGGTATATCTCCTAATGCTATCCCTCCCTCCTCCCCCCATCCCACGACAGGCCCCAGTGTGTGATGTTCCCCTTCCTGTGTCCAGATATTCTCATTGTTCAATTCCCACCTATGAGTGAGAACATGCAGTGTTTGGTTTTCTGTTCTTGTGATAGTTTGCTGAGAATGATGGTTTCCAGTTGCATGCATGTTCCTACAAAGGACATGAACTCATCCTTTTTTATGGCTGCATAGTATTCCATGGTGTATATGTGCCACATTTTCTTAATCCAGTCTGTCATTGATGGACATTTGGGTTAGTTCCAAGTCTTTGCTATTGTGAATAGTGCCTCAGTGAACATACGTGTGCATGTGTCTTTACAGCAGCATGATTTATAATCCTTTGGGTATATACCCAGTAATGGGATGGCTGAGTCAAATGGTATTTCTAGTTCTAGATCCTTGAGGAATCATCACACTGTCTTCCACAGTGGTTGAACTAGTTTACAATCCCACCAACTGTGTAAGTGTTCCTATTTCTCCATATCCTCTGCAGCACCTGTTGTTTCCTGACTTTTTAATGATCACCATTCTAACTGATGTGAGATGGTATCTCATCGTGGTTTTGATTTGCATTCTCTGATGGCCATGATGATGAGCATTTTTCATGTGTCTGTTGCTGCATAATGTCTTCTTTGAGAAGCGTCTGTTCATATCCTTTGCCACTTTTGATGGGGTTGTTGTTTTCTTGTAAATTTGTTTGAGTTCTTTGTAGGTTCTGGATATTAGCCTTTTGTCAGATGAGTAGATTGCAAAAATTTTCTCCCAATTCTGTAGGTTGCCTGTTCACTCTGACGGGAGTTTCTTTTGCTGTGCAGAAGCTCTTTAGTTTAATTAGCTCCCATTTGTCAATTTTGGCTTTTGTTGCCATTGCTTTTGGTGTTTTAGACATGAAGTCCTTGCCCATGCCTATGTCCTGAATGGTATTACCTAGGTTTTCTTCTAGGGTTTTTATGGTTTTAGGTCTAACATTTAAGTTTCTAATCCATCTTGAATTCATTATTGTATAAGGTGTAAAGAAGGGATCCAGTTTCAGCTTTCTACATATGGCTAGCCAATTTTCCCAGCACCATTTATTAAATAGGGAATCCTTCCCCATTTCTTGTTTTTGTCAGATTTGTCAAAGATCAGATGGTTGTAGATGTGTGGTATTATTTCTGAGGGCTCTGTTCTGTTCCATTGGTCTATATCTCTGTTTGGTACCAGTACCATGTGTTTTGGTTACTGAGCCTTGTAGTATACTTTGAAGTCAGGTAGCATGATCCCTCCAGCTTTTTTTTTTTGCTTAGGATTGTCTTGGCAATGCGGACTCTTTTTGTTCCATAGGACTTAAAGTAGTTTTTTCCAATTTGGTGAAGAAAGTCATTGGTAGCTTAATGGGGATGGCATTGAATCTATAAATTACCTTGGGCAGTATGGCCATTTTCACGATATTGATTCTTCTATCCATGAGCATGGAATTTTCTTCCATTCGTTTGTTGTCCTCTTTTATTTCCACTGAGCAGTGGTTTGTAGTTTCCTTGAAGAGGTCTTCACATCCCTTGTAAGTTGGATTCCTAGGTATTTTATTCTGTTTGAAGCAATTGTGAATGGAGTTCACTCACCGGTGTGGCTCTCTGTTGTCTGTTATTGGTGTATAAGAATGCTTGTGATTTTTGCACATTGATTTTGTATCCTGAGACTTTGCTGAGTTGCTTATCAGCTTAAGGGAGATTTTGGGCTGAGAGGATAGGGTTTCTAATTACAATCATGTCACCGCAAACAGGGACAATCTTGACTTCCCTCTTTTCCCTAATTGAATACCCTTATTCTTTCCCCTGCCTGATTGCCCTGGCCAGAACTTCCAACACTATGTTGAATAGGAGTGGTGAGAGAGGGCATCCCTGTGTTGTGCCAGTTTTTAAAGGGAATGCTTCCAGTTTTTGCCCTTTCAGTATGATATTGACTGTGGGTTTGTCATAAATAGCTCTTACTATTTTGAGATACATTCAATGAATACCAAATGTATTGAGAATTTTTAGGACGAAGGGCTCTTGAATTTTGTCAAAGGCCTTTTCTGCATCTATTGAGATGATCATGTGGTTTTTGTCTTTGGTTCTGTTTATATGCTGGATTACGTTTATTGATTTGCATCTGTTGAACCAGCCTTGCATCCCAGGGATGAAGCCCACTTGATCATGGTGGATAAGCATTTTGATGTGCTTCTGGATTTGGTTTGCCAGTATTTTATTGAGGATTTTTGCATCAATGTTCATCAGGGATATTGGTCTAAAATTCTCTTTTTTTGCTGTGTCTCTGCCAGGCTTTGGTATCAGGGTGGTGTTGGCCTTATAAAATGAATTAAGGAGGATTCCCTCTTTTGCTATTGGTTGGAATAGTTTCAGAAGGAATGGTACCAGCTCCTCCTTGTACCTCTGGTAGAATTTGGCTGTGAATCTGTCTGGTCCTGGACTTCTTTTTGGTTGGTAGCCTATTAATTATTGCCTCAATTTCAGAGCCTGTTATTGGTCTATTTAGGGATTCAACTTCTTCCTAGTTTAGTCTTGGGAGGGTGTATATGTCCAGGAATTCATCCATTTCTTCTAGGTTTTCTAGTTGATTTGTGTAGAGGTGTTTATAGTATTCTCTGATGGTAGTTTGTATTTCTGTGGAGTCAGTGGCGATATCCCCTTTATCATTTTTTATTGCATCTATTTGATTCTTCTCTCTTCTTCTTTATTTGTCTTGCTAGCAGTCTATCAATTTTGTTGATCTTTTCAAAAAAACCATCTCCTGGATTCATTGATTTTTTGAAGGGTTTTTTGTGTCTCTATCTCCTTCAGTTCTGCTCTGATCTTAGTTATTTCTTGCCTTCTGCTAGCTTTTGAATGTGTTTGTTCTTGCTTCTGTAGTTCTTTTAATTGTGATGTAATTGAATAATGTCTTCTTTCTACCCACAATGGATCATCTCATTCATTTTCTAAAGTTCGTACACCATTTGGAGACCAATGGTCTAGTTTACACTGTTACAAACAGCTAGTTTGGCTCTTTATTATCTTTCTAGAGCTGATTAATTTTCTTGCCTTGACCCTGGGATTTGGCCTAGTCTTCTTTGACATTACTGCCTGCTGATCTTGCTCCCTCTCTTTCCCCAAAGCTTGATGGACATAGAGAGCATGAGCTGTCCAGATATTGGCTCAGCCCTTCTTGATGGGCCCGTCCACTAGCACTGTGCTGCCCAGCTGTTTGCCACTTGTGGCCATTTAAATTTAAACAAATTACTGTGAAATCAGTTCCTCAGTCTCACTAGTCACATTTCAAGTGCTTAATAGCCACATGTGGCTAGTGGCTGGGTATAACAGAAAGTTCAACTGGGCAGTACTAGAAAGTTCTAGAAAGCTCTAGAATCTTTGCCTTTACCTGTCCTCTTCTTGTCCTTACACACTTATTACTAGTAGCCACTCTGACCTAGTTAGGGCTCCATTGGTGGTTCCATCTACTTGGTGATTCCTAAACCGGTAGACAAAGATTAGTTCATAGGATAATAGCAAAAAAGATGCTGAAGAAAAAAATATGAAGAGGCAAGAACAAAAGTGCTGAGATGGTATAGACTGGAAGGAAGAAGGCTGAGGGAGTCATTATAATGGTCTATAAATACATTAAAAAGATAATATAAAGGAGACAGTATTCCCATTAGTCAGCTTAGACCAAGCCAGAAGCATTAAGCTTAAGCTCCTTCAGAAAAAGAAAATTCAGGTTATTTAAGGCGAGAGAGGGCAGGGGGAAGGGGAGTGCTGCCGCCTCTAACACCAGTCAAGAGCCAGACGAGTTGCCAAAGTACAGGAAAGAATTTGCTTTGCTGGATCCACTCAAGGCTAAGGCTTTCGTCCTATTTATGGAGAATGGTTTTTCACAACAATGAAATCAATTCTACTGAGAGACAGATGGGTTGATTACCAATCCTCTACAGGTTCTCTCCCAATGGAATAATTTAGAATAATCTCTGTGGATGTTGTCTCCACATATGCCCTTTACAAAATAGCAACTCTTATCATTTTGTACCTTTTACCTTCTTTTGTTTTTCTTAAACACCCCTCTGCTCCCACTGTGATCCCAAACTACACCTGCACCTGCCCCTGACTACCCTACTCAACATCCCCAGGCTGATCTACAGTCTGCAGTACCAGATTCTTTTCCAAAAGACAGTTTGTTCCCCTAGGGTGAGTCATTCATAATTGTCCAATCTAATTGGTTTTGGTCTTAGCAGTTTGCTTAATTTTCATTGTTTAACAGGGATTCCAAAGGTGTTTTCTTTAAGACCCCAAGATAGATAACTTGTGTAGATCTAGGTTACTTCTGCAGTAAGCCTGAATATGAGTGTGTGTGTGTGTGTGTGTGTGTGTGTGTGTGTATTTAAAGGACATCTATATAGAAGTTATACTGTTGATTTTAGGGCAGAATTCTCTTCATCCATTGCCAAAAATACTATTTTATTTATCTTCCCCAGCTTTTCTTGTATCTTAAAACTATTTCTAGTAATAATGGTTGCTTGTCTAGGGTTACAGGAAAATTTGTGTTTTATAAATGTCCAAGTTTGATGAAGATACCTTGTGTGTAGTAAATATTTATAAATTTGTACCAGAACTTTGCAATATAAAAGTTGATAAATGATGAATTAGTCATTATAATTGAGCCAAGAAAAAGATTCTTCTGACTGATCTTTGGAGCTAAACAAATGTTTTATAAAACAGGAAGATGATTCCAAGTCAGAAGTCACCAAATACACAGCATTTGAGTTATAATGAGGTCTTCTGTTCATACTTAAATAAACATTAGGAGAGCATATTTTGCATTTAATTGTCTTGCCCTAATTTTATGTTTTATCGGTGAACACCTAATTAGATTTAAACAACTACCTTGTCTAAAACTAGAAACTGTAATCAAAGGAGTTTTCAGTGGCTAACACACCCTAGGATTATCAAATGTCAAACTTAGACAAAAAGGATGTTAAGGAAGCTAACTTTCATCTCCTCTATTACAGAAACAAGGACACAGCACCCATGGATAACACCTTCTTAATGGTCAAACCAAATGGCCCTGGTTTTACTGGGGGTGGATTTCCTCTCAAGTCAACCAAGATGAAGTTCTAACCTGAAGCTGCTGGCTGGGTCCAGTTGAACAGCTCATGAAATCTGCTCTGGGACATTTTGGGGGAATCTCAAAGTCCTTGGATCATAGAATCGGTGCTGAGAATCCAGGATGGAAGAAATGCAGAACTATTATAGTCACATACATATAAGAGGGATGGTGTTTTGTCTGGTCCACGTTGATATTAGCAAGATCATAATTCTCTGTTTTCAGTTAGGCTGACCTATTGCATGAAGCAAATCTTTTGTTGCTACCCCATTGATTGAAATGTACTAGACCTTAATTTCTTTATTATAGATATTGGTGTACTTGAAGGTTTTATATTTAAAAGTATTTTTGAAATGCAATGCGTCCCCTCTCACCTTATTAACAAGAATCTATTTTAATTATTCCTCATTAACAAGTCATTGCATGAGACGAGAAAGAAGGACAAACTCTCAAGAATTTAAAAAGTGTTTTGAGAATGATTTCTATGTGGAATTTCTTTTCAGGCCTGGAGTAGGAAAATCTATTCCAAAGAGACATACTAATAAATACTTCATCATAAAAAATAAAAAAGAATCTTTGTAGAGATTTTGATCCTTGCTTTGGTAGAGTATGTAATTAAAGTTTAAAGCTACTGTGAGAGATGTTTAACAAGAGCATTTGATTCACAGGAACCAAGACCATGAAATGAGAGATTTGTGCTAGTCTCCTATCCTTTCTAGGCCTCCATCTTCCTCCCAGACTTGAGAACACAATTATTTAGCACAGACATCTGTTTGGCTCCCAGGCATTTTGAACCATTGAATCCACTGTGATTTCTTGTTGTTGAAGCCACAATTATTGGGACATCCATTCAATGTTTTCTCATTAAGAGGTTTCATTCAGTTACATCATGTGAGGACACTCTGGCCATCTCTCTCACAATAACTTGACCTCTGTATTTTAAAAAAATTTTTGAGGAGTAGCTCAGGGATGAACAAGCACAGTGTTAATGGATCATAACATTCTGTTTGTGCCGAGAGACCAAGATTTCCCTTATGCAGAGCCGGAGTGTTAATGACCTGAGATGTTTGTTTAGACCATACGTGGAGGTGGGACTTCAGAGGGACCTTCTGGATGTCCTGCGTCACCTTCAGTTCACTACATACCAGTCTCCACTCTTAGATGAGGTTCTCTAGAAGCAAACCAAAGACGTTGGTGTCAATGAAAGTGATGTATTATGAAGTGATCTGAGGAAAACCAGTAAGAGGATGGTGAAGTAAGATAGGGAAAGGAAGGAGGCCGAGAAAGATGCAATATTATGTCCAGTTCCATGATGGGAGACTTTGGCTCCATCTTGCAGGAGAGCTCTGGAGACATCTTAGAGTTGTCTCCAGGAGGAATGAGGGGCTGGGGTATATCTCCTATGCTGTCTGTCATTGGCCAAGGACTGCTCTGGAGGGTCCCCTCTGGTTCTCTCTCCCTGCAGGCAAAGCAGGCTTTGGCAGCTTGGTGGCAGCCCACAGACAGAGAACACAGGTGCTGACTGTTGGAGGTGAAAGTGGTTAAGGGCTCAGGGGGAAATGAGTTGGGCAGTGTCATCCTCTGCTTCTCCCAAATGGGCCCCGTGAGAGAATGCTTACAGATGGAAAGCAACCTCCAGTGTAGCTGATAATGTTTTGAAGAGGTGTGATCATCAGCGCTTTGGGCACCATACAGGGATATAGAGGATGGGACTGTACCCTAGAGAATTTACCAAGAGCATTTTAAACCTAAAAAAATCACAATGGGGCCATTTCCATTTTTGAAAATCACTGATTATATCTTCCCTCAGAGCCAACCATACTTTGCTTAGACAAAAGACTTTTGCAGGTAAGGCAAGGCAGTTATGACACATATACAACCCTGGAGATTTTTCTCATCTATTCTGAGGCATTTGGAAGCATAGTTGTAGCCCATTTTATTCTGAGTCCTTGGGTGTCTTCATAAGAGGTTCACTTCTATAGGGGAACGGAGTCTGATCTTTGGATCTATCTCAGAATGGCAAAGACTCTGGAGACAGATTCTGGGTTCAAATCCTGACTCATGATAACAACAGGTTGTTTTCAGGATTAAATGAGTTAATGCATGTAAGCTTAGAACAACGTCAGGCACATAGTATTGTTCAGTAAACATCTGCCATTATTACTATTACCTAAAAGATACCAAACATTTTGGAATTAGAGAAGAAAAGTTGTTACATAATACTTGTCACATGTAAAGGTGATTCTAATCCTCACTTAAAAGGTTAATGACACTAAAATGAAGCTGGATTTAGTAATGTGATATAAATAGAATATCTTGTAGAAATGTCACATTGTGTGCCTCATGAAAACTTCTGTATTTTTTTTTATAGTTGCCATCTGGGAACAAGTTGATCCTCCATCTTCAAAGTCAGAGCTTTCAGCCTTCCTCTGTTCACAGGAGGGAAAGAGCCTGGTGGTTTCTGGCTGCCATCTTCTTCCTGTGTCTCTCCATGTAACAGAGCAGGATGATCAGCAGCTGCTGATGACAGATGTCCCATGAGCCAAGGGGGAAGAGGGCCTTGGGAGCTGACATAGCAGCTCCATCAGACTCAGTATGCTTGTGTTCAGATGGAGGAGGAGCGAATTAGGCTAGAAAAGGTGGAAGATACTGCACTGCCTCTCATTTACTGCACATCCTGACAGCCCAGGGTATTATAAGCAATAACTATTTAGATGCAGGTGTTACCACAGTAGCCGCAGCACAAAAATGAGCTGTTAAAAAACACCAAGATTTGCAAATCATTAAAGATAACTGTGAACTCACAGTGGGCTGAGGTGCTTTTAAAATCACAAATTTGAGCTGCATTGTAAAGCAACATTAGGAGACTGTACAGTAGCATAATTTTACCCTGGGGTTTTCAGAATTTCAGAAAGGAGTCCTGTTGCTAAACCATCCATTGACTCCTGGCTGGGCTGATGGGGAGCTGGTACAGTTTCTCTGTTAATAGAGAGAGACATGATGAAGGGGACTCCCTGGTCATTATTTGCTGATCATAGCTTCTCAGCGACTATTCTTATAGCCAGGTTTTTATTGTGCTTACCTCTGAAGAATAGCTCAGGGCAAAGGTTTGTTGCTGTGATGAGCCATAGAGACAGCAGTAGTAGTCTTGCTAGGAAGAGATAGCAACACCTCTGCTTGTCATGGGCTATAATTTTGCTATAAAAACTTATCCAGGGCTGATAATTATAATTTGATTTCCTGACTTGCTCAGACAGATTCTGAAGTTTGACCTAGACCAAGACACCCATAGGAACATACTGTATAATGCATTTTGAGCATTATGGCATTTCAGGGCCTGGACAATTTGAGGAAATGATCTCTCTCTTACAACATAATCAATTATATGGACATCTTGTTGGGACAGGAGTAAAGGGAGGGCATTTTAAAATGTTCAAATGGTAAAATAATTTAAAAATATGTCTCACTATTTTCTTTGTAGTAGACAGAAAATATTTTTATAGCATTGTCCATTTTTACCTTCCAATTCAATGCTGTTTTAGTATACCATTTCTCATATCTATTATTTAAAAGTTCCATTAGGGTTTTTAGATTCATTAGAATTTTATAACAGTATAAAATGTGATTATCAACAGGGTACCATTTTTCTTCTTTATAATTAAAAATAGATTTTGTTCTTACTTTAAAGTACATGATTGTTACAGAATATTAACAAATATAGATAAGCAAAAGGAAGAAAAAGGACGTCTGTAATCCTACCACTCATAGCTATTGTTTTTCTGGACTAACACTCATTTCATTCACACGGGTTGGCTGTATCAGTTGTTCAAACCTACCATTTCTTCTGATGGATCAATGCTTGTGCTTCCCATCATGAAATATTTTTAATGTCACCTTTGAAATATTACTGTTCTATACTTTTGAATATATCTTTCTGAACCTTTAAGTATATACTGTATAAGCATATATGCATATATATGTATATATAGAGATAGATTTTCTTTTTAAAAACAAGCTTTATCAATATATAACCTACATATAAAAGGCACTTATTTTAAGTGTATAGCTTGGTAAGGTTTGACAAATGCATACATTCAAGTAACCACTGCCATAATCACCACCCCTCCAAAATGCCCCTTATGCCACTTGGCAAGTCAATATTGCCAGCCACCACCCAGCCCAAGTAACAATGGATCTGTTTTTTATTGTTATAGATTAGTTTTGTCTTTCTTAGAATTTTATATGAATGGAATTATACACTGTGTACATTTTTGTGCCTGACTTTTATTTTCAGGAAGTAGTTTTTCGAGATCCATCCATGTTGTTGTGTGATCAGTAATTCACTGATTTATATTGTGGAGCAATATTCCATTGTATGCAAAAACACAATTGGTGTATTTTACCCGTTGATGGGAATTCAAGTTATTTCTAGTGCTTAGCTATTCTGAATAAAGTTGCTATGAACATTCACATACGGGTCTTTATGTGGATATACATTATCATGTCTCTTGGGTAAATACCAAGGAATAGAATTGCTGGATCAAAGGATAATTGTATATTTAACTTGATAACTGTCAAACTGTTTGCCTGGTTGTACCATTTTTACTGACAATGAGTGTGGTCTCCAGTTGCTTCACATCCTTGTCAATACTGGTATCGACAGTACTTTTTTAAGCCATTGTTTTGGATATATAGTGATACTTCATTATGGTTTATATTTGTGTTTCCTAATGACTAACAATGTTGAGGATCTTTTCACGTAGCTTTGGCCATCAGTAAATCTTATTTTGTGAAGTGTCTTCAAATATTTAGCCCATTTTAAAATCATCTCATTGGCTGTAAAAGTTATTTGTGTAGTCTGGATACAAAACGTTTGTCAGATATGTGTATTGCAAATATTTTTGTTCAGTCTGTGGCTTACGTTTTCATTTTCTTTTTTTTCTTTTAATTATGATTTTAAGTTCTGGGATACACGTGCAGCATGTGCAGGTTTGTTACATAGGTAAACATGTGCCATGGTGGTTTCCTGCACCTATCAACCCATCACCTCGGTATTAAGCCAAGCATGCATTAGCTATTTTTCCTAATGCTCTCCCTTCCCCCACCCCACCCCCGACAGGCCCTAGTGTGTTGTTCCCCTCCTTGTGTCTGTGTGTTCTCATTGTTCAGCTCCCACTTGTAAGTGAGAACATGGGGTGTTTGGTTTTCTGTTCTGTGTTAGTTTGCTGAGGATAATGGCTTCCAGCTTCATCCACGTCCCTGCAAAGGACATGATCACATTCCTTTTTATGGCTGTATAGTATTCCATGGTATATATGTGACACATTTTCTAGTCTATCATCGATGGGCATTTGGGTTGATTCCATGTCTTTGCTATTCTTAATAGGGCTACAATGAACATATGCCTGCATGTATCTTTGTCACAGAATGATTTATATTCCTTTTGGTGTATACTCAGTAATAGAATTGCTGGACCAAATGGCATTTCTGGTTCTAGATCTTTGAGGAATTGCCACACTGTCTTACACAATAGTTGAACTAATTTACATTCCCACCAACAGTGTAAAAGCGTTCCTGTTTCTCTGCAACCTCACCAGCATCTGTTCTTTCTTGATTTTTTAATCTCCATCCTCACTG